TTTTGAATTCCCTTTGTGTTGATTCCTCCCAAACTCAAAGACCAATAAAAGAAATTTATTGTCTTGGGAACATTTCCATACCATTATACTAACATCGTGAGGTAGAATCACATTGTTGAAATCCAGATGTCTTAATTGAGATTTATTAGAGTATTTGATTGAAGGTTCAAGATTCCAATCCCTATGGTCTTCAATGGTTCTTCTAGCGGTCTCTTATCCAGATATTAAGGAAGATCTAGCTTTAATTTCTGTCTCCCAATGATTTCTTCTAAAGTTAAACCTCCATTCTTCTCCTAACAGAAGCTGAAGGTCACATTGGTCACCAAATTCTGCCTAGTAGTGGGGCTATAAAGTCATGGGAAGAAATGGCAAAGAGGCAAGTCTGTAATTCAGAAACTCCTGAAATCTTGTAATTTTACCTATCCTTAGTTTGAGACTGTAGATTTGGAAAGTGACTTTTTGACTAGTAATATGAAGCTTCAAGGATATGTCTTTTAACAGGTCCCTTATTAACTGAATACCAACCTCCTAAATCTTTACCATATTTGCTGGGTATATTTTGAACGCTAGAGTTCCATTCTTGAAGAAAATTCTCCAAAGCTACTTTTTTGAAAAAAACAAGTATTTCAAATTCTCCATAGCCACATGGAAATGAGTAGATGTTCTTTTATTAATCCTAATTCCTAATGATAGTTTGGTTTCTCACTAAAAAATGGAAAGGCAGGCAACGTTTCTTTTTCTCTAGTTGTCAAGCACAAGTTCTCCTTTATTTGTCTGCTGGCTTGACAGTACATAGATACATCAATGTATGTAGGTACACAAACATGTATATAAATATTTGGATGAGAGTTCCTTCTTGTATAGTTAGCCTTTGGACTTTGCTTGCCGGCTCTCTTTTTGTATGCCTCGTCTTGGGCTGTCTTTTGTTTTGTCCTTGTTATCTTTGTTCTATTTCATCTTTTATCAGTGAAAGCTTAGTTTATTATAAAGAAAAAACATGTGTGTGTATATATCATCGGTAGAACTTGCTCAAAACTATCATTGAGGCTATAAGAAGACTATCCAATTAACAGTAGAGGAAATAGAATGGTCGCACAAATTACACAATTCATTGCAAGAAGAGGCTACAAAAAGAATAATCTGAAAGCTCCTCAACCGAAAGCTCATCTTTTTATTTCTTTTAATTTTTATTTTTCTACACTCCTTTTAAAATTCTTCTATTTCTTCAGTCCATGCTTCCAGAGCAGCGCATGGGTAGCATATTAACATTAAGAAGTTATTTTTTTTGTTGAAAGGGCAGCCAGCCATACTAAGTTTCAGAACAGCCATTTTATTCTGTTCAGTTAACCACATTGAAAACAATTGATGTTCGGTAGCTTCCACTAAAGTTTTGAGTATTTAAGGGCAACCAACCAAGGAAGAGGTGGGAATCATCATTGCTTCCCTTACATAGATATCACCAGCCAGAAGAGAGTGGTCAACAACGGCCTGTCTCTTTTTTTGTTTTTTTGATGAGAAACATAAGAAAATATATTAAAAAACTCCCTCGAAAGAGGGGTGGGAAGTACATCCTAAGGACGGAGGGTAGAGATAACCCTCCTCCAAGAAGAACTATACAATCACGGACTTCCAATCTTGAATAATCAAAAGGAGACTGTAGTTACAAAAAACCTTCTTGTGGATTGTTGCCCACCTAGAAGCCGTATGCTTAATATTCACACAACAAGGGCCTGTCTCTTAAGTTTCTATATCCATAACATATTCTTGAAAAGATTATTTATTTGAATAATTCTTGTATTATAAATATGAAATCAAAATTTTGGTGAAGCTGGAAGTTTTACGGTGCTTTGTTTGTGCGGTTTATGGTTGTTTCATTCTTCCCCTTTGCTTCAGTCATTACCAGGTGTAGTTCTTATTCTGCAGGTACCCTAATACACCAGAAGAGGAAATTGCAGAATCTTGTCCAGTATGTTGTGGAAATTGCAATTGCAAATCATGTTTGCGTTTAGATGTTCCCGTTAAAGTGGGCCTTCTCTCTGATGCTTTCTTCATGTGTATTATCTATTGATTTGATGACATTCTCCTTTAAAACGTTTTTTTTTGTAATTATAGAATTTGAAGAACTTGGAACCAGTAGTCAAAGACGGTGGAGAGGTTGAGCATGCAAAATATGTACTACGTAGACTTCTACCATTTCTGAAATGGCTTAATGAAGAGCAGATGATGGAGAAAAAACAGGAAGCTACAAGGCTAGGTACTTTCTTGTTGCCCATCAGTTAGCAATTGACTCCATTAGAAAGCAATTCTTGCTCTTCAGTGTTGTTAAGTTGTTGAGTTTGTAATTTTGTTTCTTATTTTTGCTTCTCATTTGACTAATATTTGCATAATAATGTGTATTTAAAGAGTTCACTTCCTCTTAGTGCATAGCTGCACAGTTTTTTGCATTACTTGTTTAAGATTTGTATAATATTTGGACCATTCAATTATGAAACATATATTGGTCCATTTTTTGTGGCTGATATGCTCTTAGTTTTTAAAGGGTCCATATAGTTATTTTGTTTCCATAATGCTTGTCTTTTACTCCACGGTAAAGAACAGGATGAGTTGATATTTATACAAAATAAAACCTCCATATTTAGACAAAACGATCTTCAATTATGTTTTTCTTCATATTTGGTGGGTTACTCTGGGCAGGTTTGCCTCTTCATGATCTGAAGGTGGAAAAGATAGATTGTGAAGACAATGAGCGAATGTACTGGTAAAGACATTCTTCATAAGAATTCTTTCCCTTGTTATTTTTATAGTATAGTTTGAAGATCTGATTTAAAATTTTTATTTTTCAGCAACATCTGTAGAACGTCAATTTTTGATTTTCATCGAACCTGCGTTACTTGTTCTTTTGACCTTTGTCTCAACTGTTGTCGGGAAATCCGTGATGGAGATATGCGGTGTTGTGAGAAAAATGAGATAATACCCTATGTCAATCGAGGATTTGAGTACTTGCATGGTGAAGAACCCAAAAAAGCCGAAGTGCTTGCTGGGTCTTCTCCAAGAGGTTGTGGGGAGTCAGTGTCCGAATGGAAAGCAGAAGAAGATGGAAGCATTCCTTGTCCACCACTGGACCTGGGTGGTTGTGGTCACGGGTTTCTAGAGTTAAGATGTATATTGGAAGATTCAGTCTCTGAATTGGTGGACGAAGGAGAGGAAATTGCCAGAATCCACAACATAATGGATGTGGATGAAACTGAAGAAAAGTGGTGCTCGTGCTTTAACTCATGTGGTGAAATTGATCTCGAGAATGGTATGTTGAGGAAAGCTGCTTCTAGACAAGGTTCAAGCGATAATTATTTATACTGTCCCAGGGGCAGGGATATCGAAGCTGGAGAGTTGAACCATTTTCAGTGGCATTGGAGCAAAGGTGAGCCTGTGGTTGTTAGCAATGTTCTTGAAAACACATCAGGTTTGAGCTGGGAACCCCTTGTCATGTGGCGTGCCTTTCGTCAAATTACACATACGAAACATGGTCAACAGCTGGAAGTTAAGGCCATTGATTGCTTGGATTGGTGTGAGGTCAGTTGAATTGTTGTGAGATAGATTTCCCTGTTTTCTTTAGCTTTAATATTTAAGGAACTCCATAGATAATTTTACGATTAGTTTGAATGGTTGATATATGTTTCACAACAATAAGTTTTTTACTACAAGGGTATTGAATGACTTATAGAAGATATTCTTAAGATTTACTAAAAGGAAAATCTGTATTTCATCCACACACGCCCAGGAGGGGGGGAGGGGGGGATAAAGATTGACAACCTCCCCCATGTGCCTAGATAGAAAAAGATAGCAAGTTAATCACAGTATTTTTATTCCACAAAAACTGGAAAAAGAAACCAACATGTAACCCACAAATTCAGCAAAAAAAGCTTAAATTTATCCCAAAATCTATTACCAAGCTATGGCTAGGAGGAAGTAACAAAAAAGAAAAAAAGAAAAGAGAAATGCAAAGAAAACTAGATTAGAGAGAAGCAAAGCTTCAGATTTCCAAATGAGTGAAGAAGAGGAAGCCCCAAATTTTATTGAGACCAATTTTGAGCCATGAGGCACTTCCAGTCCGACCAGCGTCCATGTAGACTACTTCAACAGTGATGGAGTGAAGCCTGCAGCCATAGTGAGAGTGAAAGAGTGGCGGAGAGGTGGGAGCTGTTTTTGAAGGATAGAACAAAGAGGATGTATCAAGGGATTGCTTTTCTACATGTTAAATTTAAGCGGGAAAGGGATAATAGAATGCATAACTAGTTTAATTTTCTTCAATTTGTCTTTTCTGGTTCGATCTATATAAATTCTGAAAACCAAAGCAAATATTGGTTTTCATTTCCCCTTAATGTAAAATTTGTTTGACCTGTTGGGTTTGACTTATCCTTTTTTTCCCCTTCTTTCTTTTTCGCACCTGTAATAAAAATAACTGGGATAGAGAAGGGGAAATCTGCTGTGTAAAATGAAATAGTTTTTTTTATTTTTATTTTTTATTTGTATTAAATGTTGTATTATACATCTGTCCTTTTATTTTGGTTTCAAATCCTAATTTCTCTTTTTAAATCTCGCAAAAGAATTTAATGATTCTTTTTTGTTTCTCATCCACTGCATATCAGGTTAAAGCTTGACATTTGGCAAATGAAACATGTTTTTGTTAAGATCATCTAGGTAAAGAATTATCTTTATCTTTTAGTTTTAATCTGATAAATTGGTACCAGCAGGAACATGTTGTTTCTGTCTTCACTTGAAGTGGATTTTAGGAGTTTTTGGCCTGAATGCTTTCTGGTGATTGGATCCTGAATTTCTAATCCTTTTTTATTTCTCGTGTTAATTCAATATTTAATACGGTGAGTCTAAAAATTACATTTCTCCTGGTACATAGATTAAAACAAGTGCCTTGAATCTCAACCAGAAATATTCGGTGGCTTCACATCAAGTGGAAGTCTTATTTCATATCTTGTAGTCAAGATTTTTGCCCAATATTTTTAATTAAAAATTTAGAGATGCAGTTCCATTTCAAATTTGCTCGCTTCTTTTGAAAATTAGTGTGTCCTTAATACTCAAGTGTATCTGCGTCTCAGCCGCGCATACAGTATTCTTACATTTTGTGGGATACAACTTTATTTCTTGTACTATATAAACTAATACGAACTTGTCAAACTGCAGCTTGATGTCAACATCCACAAATTCTTTATTGGGTATTCAGAAGGTCAGTTTGATACAAAATTGTGGCCTCGGATACTGAAACTCAAGGATTGGCCCCCTTCTAATCATTTTGAGAAATGCTTGCCACGTCATAATGCTGAATTTATCAGTTGCTTACCTTTTAAGGAGTATACACATCCTTACAAAGGCAACCTAAACCTTGCTGTCAAATTGCCGGAGAATATTTTAAAACCTGATATGGGGCCTAAGACATATATTGCTTATGGAGTTGCTCAGGAGCTTGGTCGTGGAGACTCTGTTACCAAGCTTCATTGCGATATGTCTGATGCAGTATGTCAATATCTAGTTTTCTTTCAATTTATAGAGCTATATATATTTTCTTTTTTGAAAATTGAGAATCAGTAAACTATTCTTTCTGGATTTTACTATTTTTATCATAAATATGACCAAGGGGTGAGTTTGTCTATGACAGTATGCTTCAGCTTTGACTGTTTTGTTAAATGACCTGTTTTGTTGCATCTAGACAGATTGACACATGTTTCAGACACAATCTCTTATTGACACATGTTTCTGGAAACAATCTCTTATTTGCACTATGTAACTTTCTTGATGCATATGCTCCAGAATCTGTACATCAATTAGTTAAGAGGAAACCCATTTTTTATAGTGTTTTTGGATTGTTTGAAGGGAATTGCTCATTTAAAGAGCATTATATCACATGTGTCCTTTGCTAATTTTTGTTGGCAGAACTATTTGTGTTTTTCTTGTTCATTCACTGCGTGAGGAAGCTTGCATTACTCACTGTCTTCCTTGTATAGCACTGCCACTTCACAGTTTCTTTGTGCCTTAATGGTGATGAAGAATTTCTTCTAGCGAATTTTTTTAACAACATTTACTGGAAAAACTACATTGTTATTGCAACTTGTTGCACGATATGCCGTTCGGAACATTTTCCCTTGTTTCCTTTCTATTGATACCTTGGTTGCTGCAAGTTGCTGGACACAATTTATATTCTGATAAGGTCGATTGGTTGATTTATTGATCTGTGATAATGTTTAGTATTTTTATAAGCAAGTATGCATGTTCAAATTATCTGTTATGACCATGAAAATAAATTTTTGGTCTTCATTTGTCACGATTTAAGGATTTTGGTTAGCCCTATATTTTAAGATTTTTCAATCATGTGCGACTGATTTTGGTGAGAAATGGAAAATGTTACAGCAATAATAAGAGAAAAAAATATGCAAATTTTGATTTATTTAGTGATTTTTTGAAAAAGTATACTCGTTGCTCCTGTATCTTCCTTTAATGTGGTTAATTACTTTATTTTACTTCAATAAAAAATTCTTATGGTGACTTGTTTCAGGTGAATGTTCTTACACATGCCACCGAAGTCACCCTTGAGCCCAAGCATTTGAATAGTATTAAAGAATTAAAAGCAAAACACCTTGCGCAAGACCAAAGAGAACTTTATGGTGACACGGCTGATGCAAATTTTGTCGATAGAAGCAAGGTTTTCAATGACCCTTGTAATACGAGTGATAATGGAGAGGAACATGTTTGCAAAGTTGGTTATCAAAACAATGATGCAGTTTTTGAGAATACATCTAGCCCTAAGAGAGGTGATGCTGAAGAGGGTGATCATCGAAGTTTGAATGAACACAGTGGACCTGACCCTGGTGAGTCTGTAAATGTAAATCCAGGTGGAGAAACTAGTGATGATGCAAAAATATCAGAAGAGATGGAAAGTTGGGAGGCTTCTGATGGTGGTGCACTATGGGACATTTTTCGTAGGCAAGATGTCCCCTTGCTGCAGCGATATCTCAATAAGCATTTCAGAGAATTTAGGCACATTCATGCTGGTCTTGTGCCACAGGTTACTACGATATACAGTTTGACTTAACATTCTACACTTATATTGATATTAAGACAGCAAAACTTTTCATTCTTTATAATTCCAGTACTCTCTTGCTGAACTACCCGTCTATATATGCAATGATATGAGTAAAAACAAATTAATTCCTTCCTATCTGCCCAAAACGGTATCGATTGCTTTTAAGGACATGAAGGAATGTTCTGCCTAATGATGTTAGTTATTTGACCAAAGTTAGCTGTTTTGCATTATCAATGAACTGAATTCATTTAGAATTAACTGTATTTAGAGTAAACTCAAGAAATAATGTGCATTGCTATAATTGGATCCATTGTGGATATGGTCAAGAAATTTCATACCGAAACTGTCATACCAACACTTGTCTCGACTTCTATAACTTGTCCATATTTTTCCTGGTATATTTTTAGGAGAAAATCTATACTTCATCGAGACATTTCCACGTGTTTATTAGGTGTTCTTGCTTTGATAATCCAGGTGTTTCATCCAGTGCATGATCAGTCATTTTATTTGACTTTGGAACACAAAAGAAAGCTCAAGGAGGAATATGGTCAGATTATAATGTGGTATTAGGTTAGAATTTTTATCACCATCATTCATGGCAATAATCTTCTTCTGCTTGCTTCTTATACAGGAATTGAACCTTGGACATTTGTCCAAAAACTGGGAGATGCCGTCTTTATTCCAGCTGGTTGTCCTCATCAAGTCAGAAACTTGAAGGTTGGCCTTCACTATTGTTATCTTTAAAAACTGATTTAAGCAACTTTTTGGATTTTAAGAGATGTTCTGTTCATACCTTCTTTTTTTTTTTTTCTGTATTTTTCTTTGTAAAAGAACTCTTGTTTAGTTTGCAGTTATGCATCATAAGTTTATTAACTCATCCATACTGCATCAAGAAATGCAACTTGGTTCTATTTCAGCTGATGCTTCAATGGTTGGGCCTTTTGGTCTTACTCTTACATATCAAGATAGTTGTGTCAGTTCATTATCTATCCGATTCTCAAAGGTTTAGTGAATAAGAATACAAGCTAACTAAAAGTGAATTTTTCTGTATTATCCAAGTATATTTGCGCTGTATCCAACTAGTATTGTGTTTATATCGTATTTGTAAAATAGTCTTCAACATACAAAATAGAGTTTTCATTTAAGGACCATGGTCTTGTTTTATCATTTTTGCAAATCTTACATGTGTTTCATGGGCTTGGTGAATCTAAATTATATTATTGATGCCACAACCTGGGAATTTCAACTTTCCAGAGTGCTCTGTTTTTATCTTTCACAGTCAATCAGAAAATACTGTTCATATAGGGGTCCATGCCACTGATTTAGTTGACATTATCTTACTAGAAAAATGGATAATTGGAGCAGATGCATAAATGGTGCCTTCAGATTCTTTTCTCGAATTGCCTTATCTCAAGGGATTGAGTTATAGTTGAAGCTTGATTTATCATTCTAATATCTTGTCCGAACTAAAATGAGAATACTATTTCATATAATGATTATTTTCTTTGGCTGAACCTATTTATGGCTATTATTCTAATGCCTTTCCAATTCATGTTCCCCATAGTCATGTATAAAGGTTGCTCTAGACTTTGTCTCACCTGAGAATGTTGGAGAGTGCATCCACTTGACTGAAGAATTTCGCAAGCTTCCTTCAAATCATTGGGCCAAAGAGGACAAATTAGAGGTAATCCATCATTTTCTGTCATCCATGTTCTTTGTTATCTTAATGTCTCTACCAATGTTAAAACAATAATGAAAGATATTGTTTGGTTGAACTTTATTAGAGCCTTTCTTTGGAATTTTTTATTTGAAAGAACAATGAAATCTTTTAGAGAGAAGAGAAGATTGTTTAATATTTTGTTGGAACATATTGGTTTTATGGTTATCTGGTGCTAGATAAGTCCAAATCTTTTTAAACCTATTGAACTTCTTCCCTTTGTGTTGATTGGAAGACTCTGTATAACTTTCTTATCATGTGACTATTCTCACGAGACAACAGCATAACTCTACTACATTTGGTTGTCAAGCTAACTAATAGGATATTAAATCCTAGGTAGGTTACCACCTTAGTTTGAACTTATTTTCTCTAAGCTCTTTATTTATTTATTTTTTTGGTATGAAACAATATTTCATTGATAGTATGAAATATACAAAAGGCCACAAGGGCAATTACAAGAAGGCTTCCCAGCTTGTAATAAGCTCATTTAAAGAGTAACTATTGAAAGGCGGATAAAAACATTTGCACCACCCCATAGCAAGTACAATGACCCTATCAAAAAAGTTTTCAAAGGAGAGTACCTTGTTGTTGAAGACCTGATGATTCCTTTCTAACCATAAAGACCGAAGGAAGGCTCGAATCAGTTGTGTCCAAAGTATAGCTTTTCCTCTGTTGAAGGGGTGCCCCACCAAAAAACAATCAAGTAGTGTAGCTGGTTGTGTGTGGAGAGCTGTTGTCCATCCGAAACTTGAGAGCAAGCGGTTCCAAAATCGAGTGGCAAATGGGCAATGAATAAATAGATGGCTTTGTGTTTTCGAGCTTCCAAAGCATAGAATGCAGCAATGTGGAGACAGGTACAAATGAGGGTTCTTTCTCTGTATTCTGTCATGAGTGTTTAAGGCCCTGTGAGTGAGTTCCCAGCAGAAAAATTTAATTTTCTTGGGGTATTTATCATGCCAAATGTTAGAGTAGAGGGTGGATTCCTGTTGGTCATGGACAGTGTATGAGCAGAGTAGTGTGAAGGTTTATCTGGTGGTGTATAAGCCCGATGGTTCGTGGGGCCATCTCCATTGATCTTCGTTGGGTGAGGGGACAATCGGGTCAATAAGTGAGACCAGTCTCTTCCACTCATCAATTTCTTCCTCCTTTAGTGTCCGCCTGAAAGTATAACTCCATGAGGAGGTTGTCCTGGACCAATGATCGCCAATAGTGGCGTCCTTTTCCGTAGCTATAGTGTATAGATTCGGGAAAAGTGAGGCTAGTGTTCCCTGTGCTCGCCATTTCTCTTGCCAAAAGCTGATAGTGCTTCTTTCCCCCACCTTACAGGTTGCTAGGTTCTTTATAAAGCAGGTGAGTTGGCTGATCGAGGATCAAGGGCCTTTGTGGAGGGACTGGCAGCGGTTAGGCCAAGGATTTGTGCTGGATCCATGGTATTCAGCTGAGATAAGTTTCCTCCATTGATGGTTTGGTTCAGTTGTGTAACGCCACACCCATTTGGAGAGAAGGGCATTATTCCTCCGCTTGATATTCCCAACACCGAGACCACCCTCATCAATGGGAAGCTGTGTTTTGGTCCAGTTTAGGAGATGCGATTTCCCCCCATTTTTTGCTCCCTGCCATAAGAAGTCCCTGAATAGTTTTTCCAATAGATCCCGCAGCTGCCCGATATCTTGAAGAGAGATAGATAGTATGTAGGTAGATTGGAGAGGACGGATTGGAGAATGGTAAGGTGTCCCCCTTTTGATATATATAAACTGTTCCACTTGCAAAGGCGACTCTGTATTTTCTCGATGATGGACCACCAAAACGAGTCCTTTTTTGGGTTTCCATTGAGAGGCAGTCCCAAATAAGTGCTAGGCCATGATCCTGGTGCACAATCCCCAAGCTTTAGCTATGTCGTTGATAACCTGACTGTCGATAGAGATACCAAAGACACTACACTTGTTGTAGTTAATGTTGAGTCCGGAGGCTATCTCATAGAATTTTATGATCTTATGAAGGTTTTTGATGGAGGATGGATCCTTTTTGGAGAACAAAAGAGTGTCATCTGCAAAGAGGAGATGATTAATTTTTATAGAGTTGCAGCGAGAGGAATAACCTTTTAGATGATCGATTTGTTGTCCATGGTGTAGCATGCAGCTGAGGACATCTGTTATGAGGATGAAAAGAAAATGAGAAAGTGAATCTCCTTGTCTCAATCCCTAGTAGCTGTAAATTTACGCCTTGGTCTCCCGTCTATGATAATAGAGAAACTAGTAGTGGATATACAAGCCCTTATCCATCTTCTCCATTTCTCCCCAAAACCTTTGTATTTCAGCACCATATCCAGGAAATCCCAGTCCACCATATCAAAAACCTTATCGAGACCAAGTTGTATCACCACTCCTTCAGTTTTTTGTGACTTCCAATCATCAATAATTTCATTGGCAATAAGGGCGGAGTCAAAAATCTGTCTTCCTTCAACAAAAGCAGATTGTTTGTCAGTTATAGTGAGGGGAAGAACCTTTTTTAGTCGGTCCGAGAGCACTCTTGCAAGGATCTTGTAGGTGCAAGAGATGAGACTGATAGGCCTATAATCGTGCACGGTTTTTGCTGCCTTCTTCTTTGGTATGAGGCAGATGTATGTTTCATTTAGTGCAAGATTGAGGACTCCATTTTAGCTCTTTATTATTTTACTTATTAGCCCTTTATTGATCACTACGTCAATCCATGATGGTTTTCTCCTTTTATATATTTCATAGTTTCTTAATGCACAAAATCTTGGAAACCAGAAGCAAGTTTATAGTACGACTTATGCTTGAAACAGGTAAAGAAAATGAGTATTTACGCTATGAAAGCAACGATTGAGAGTTTGAAGAAAAAATGCGAGTGATGCAGACCAAAATTGTCTAATTTAGGATTATTTCTTGTGAGGTTAGTATTATCATTTCATACTCCCAAATTTACATTGTTCTTAATTTACATCCCACGTTTATATTATTTTTAATCAAAATTGTCTAATTTAGGATTATTTCTTGTGAGGTTAGTATTATCATTTCATACTCCCACATTTACATTGTTCTTAATTTACATCCCACGTTTATATTATTTTTAATCGATATCATTCTCAATCCACACATTTTTCCATAGTCCTAAAGATATTCTTGAGCTTGATATCATTTCATACGAGTTCTCATTGGTATTTGAAACTGATTTTGTATATCTTTTGAACTCGGTACAGTCTCGACATCCTGTAACCAGAAGATTGAGGACAAGGCTAAAGTTAGTATAAGAGGCGTTTCATCATGAGCTTTTGTGATGTCACCTGTTTTGTAGCAATAGAATTATGCCTCATACATTTTGTAGAATGATTCTTGGCCTTTTTACTCCTCCATGTATGTCGTTCGACAATAACTTAAAGCCGGTATGTCATTTATCAGCCATGAGATTCGGGGGTGTCGCTTTTGATCCTTTTGGCATTTTTGTATAGATAACATCTCTGCCATAATGGGAAAATGAAATGCACAAGCATGATCTGTATGTTTCAGAATCTCCATACTCTTTCGAAATTGTATGTCGATAGGTCTCCATTCTTTTTGCCAGTTATTGCAGAACTGCTGGGATTCGTACTCGGACAATGGTAGTAATCGCCTTTAGTTGACTAATAAATATGGCATTCTCCCCGAAATGACAGGAAAGATGGTTTAATTTTGAAGCCGAGATCGTGGCTGCAATCCCCCAGGTATGTTGATATGAATGATTGAATACTTCTTGAGGAGAGACGTGTAATTGGAGAAACATAAATTGCAGAAATGAACAGAACAGAGCTGAGAAATGTTACATTCTTTCAAACTACTAATACAAAATAATATGATAATTAGTTACCATAATGAAAAGTTTGATGACTTCTTTTTTTTTTTTTAATTTTTTTTATGTTATTGGGTTAGGCCAAGTCTAGAAGTCATACGAATTAATAGTTACATGTTCGGTTGGATAATATTTGACAATTCGATCGTAGTTTAGTAGATAAGATATTTATCAACTTTCTAGATTAGTTGAGTAGATAAGACATTTATCAACTTTCTAGATTAAATGTTCGATTCTCCGCTCTATATCTCTATTATTTGATCATATTTTAAGTCATCCGCTCTCATGTTGTCATCCACATCACAACGTAAAAGCTTCCATATTGCTTGGTGTTTACACATGCAATATTTGAAAACCAATAATAAGAATAAGAACAACAATTGATTTCTAATTATGTATTAATAAAAGGTCAAATTAGGAGCCCCACGAATCCAATACACAACAAAACAAGCAACATGCTTCTAACTTGTGAATGCTGTAAAAATGACCTTTATCTTGCTAATGATCTTCTAAACGAACTCATTTTAATTTAAAGTTTAATTTGATGAAATTAAACGTATAAATTTAAAAGTGATTTTTTTAGTAATAATCTTGATAAAAAATTTTCTATTTTAAACCTAAACTTTCGCTGAAAGGAACAACAATTTGGAATTGATAGGACTTCCGATAAAGATAATACTAGGATATGTTTACAATGGTATTTGTGAGTTTTTGAAGATTTCTTTTGATGTTAATGTTGTGCAATGTTTCATCAAGCTTGATTGATTGATTGATTATTATTTTTTAATTAGAATAGAACTTGATTTTGTGCACTTGTTTTAGCTAAATTTTCATTTGAAATTAGTAGGTGAATCTAACATAAGCTTAGTGGAAGTCCAAGTTCAATTTTTAAAAATTGGATAAAATTTGGCTCACCTTCTCAAGTTTTGGGCAAAAGTTGAAAATTTTGCCAATAATTTTTATACAAAGTCGAGAGGTTCAAATAAAATGTTCAATATTTGAGAGAATAAACATAACATTTGAAATTACTAAAAACCAAAATAGAATAGAATAAGTATCAAATTTCAGCAACCTTAACAAGTTTAAACTTTAAGCTGATTTTTAATGATTTATCACTAAAGTTTTAAGCAACAGCAATTTCTCAGCCAATGATGCACCAAAAAACAAAGCAGTATCTTTTCCTATTTGCATCTTCGGATTCTACAACTTGTATGGACTTTTAAAGGTTGTCAAAATTTGCAGCTTCAGCCTAAATCACTCTATTATTTATCATGAAGCACTTAACTTGTGCATAAAAAATGGAGAAGAGAACCTTAATTCTAAATGTATCCATCCATTCAAGGATGACTGATGAAGGTAGCCTGGATTCTGGAAAATCGATCCTTGGATGATTGAAGTACCGAACCGGCAACCCGGTTTGCAAATGTATCAAGATTTCCCTTTTCCTTTGCAATCAGAACTTTCATCAAACTCCCTTTAGTAAGGTAACAGAAAAGACTTCAGACTTCAGCTTCTGAGGTCTGAAACACCAATTGTTGGGATGCTGCCCTTTTCGATAAGCGATTTAACTCCCGAGCGAGTTTGGTCGTCTTCAGATAATTTGAATATTGCATCTCTTATGGTGACATAGGTCTTGTCAGTTGGATCGGGAACGTTTCCTTTCTCAACTGCCTCCTCTAATATGTTAAGAGCCATGGGGAAGTTTTGATTCGATATGAAAGCATCAACCAATGCAACAGAGACATAACTGTCTGGTTTCATTTGCTTGTCTTCCATCATTCGATAATAAACAAGAGCTGCGTCGGGCCTGCCACACTTGCAAAGACCGTGCACAATTGCCATGTAAGCTATACTGTTGGGGGAGCAACCTTTTTGCTGCATTTCATTCCAAAGTATTTCGGCATCATCATGCCTCCCAGAATTGCAGCATCCATCGATCAAAGTCGTGTAAGTGATGACGGTTGGTTCCCTGTTCTCTCCATTCATTCTGGAAAGACAAAGGATGGCCTGATCAAGATCACCCCTTTTGCACCATCCATCAATAAGTAGATTATAGGTAACAACTGTAGGAACTAGCCCTGCAACTGTCATTTTGTTCAGAAAATCCTGGGCTTCGCTAACTCTCCCGGCTTTACAGAAGCCATTTATCAATACATTATAAGCAACCACGTCTGGACGGTAACCACGAGTACAGATATCTTGGAACATCTCGAAAGCACGGTCGACTTCGTGAATCTTGACTAGCCCATCCATGGCAGCAGAGTAGGCAATTATATCGGGGAGGAATCCTTCAGAAACCATATCAGCAAGAAAATTACAAGCTTCGACGACTCGCCCATTTTTGCAAAGTTTTTTCACAAGGAGTGTAGAATGTTTTATCCATGGCTCGTGTCCGTGACCACGCATCTCCCTCAGTAGTTCAATGGCCCCTACGGTATCCTCTCTTTTACAGAGGCAGCCGAAGATTGAATTATGGGTAAAATGTGTCGGTTGAAGTCCCGATTGCTTCATATCTCTCAGAAGATTATAACTTTCCTCCAATTTGTCTGATTTGCACAGTGCATCTATCAAATTGTTATGAAGTAACTGGTTTGGTTCACAACCAAGTCGAATCATATCTTCAAAGAGGCTTAATGCTACATCCAACTTACCCATCTTTAGCAAGCCATCGATTACAATGCCGAATGAAGCAGTATTAGGGAATACCTTCTTAAAAGTTTGGTGGATCTCACATATGTGAAAATCATCAGTATGAAAATCGTTTCCTGTCGTAAACCGAAGCAAATAACAAGCTCTATCTATTGACCCAGCATTAACAAACCAAGTCAACACAGAATTGTAAAGCAATATCATAGCTTCGTCATTTATATCTTCTGGTCTTTCCTCAAGTAACATGATCACAACTCTCTCTTCAGAACAAGATGCTATGAGCTTCGCAAGTATCTCGATGTCGGGCACAATTCCTAACAACTTCATCTTCCAAAACAAAGCCATTGCTTTCTCAAATGTGCCCTTCTTACAAAGTGCTCCAATCAGCACATCGTAGATTGAAATATCAGGACTAAAACCCAACTTCTGCATTTTCTCGAGCAACTTAAGAGCCATATCCTCTCTGGATTCCTTCACAAAACCATGAATCAGAGCATAGAATGTCTTTTCGTTTAGCCCAGGATTTTGATCTCCCATTCTGTCTATGAATTCCATTGCTCTATCTACCTCACCCCACTTGCTAAAAGCTAAAGCCAAGATAGAAAAGGCATACCCATCAACCCACCCTCTCTCATGCATATCGTTATAAACATTTAAAGCTTTATCGAACTTCCCAGAATTGAAGTAAGCCTTCAAAACTGGCGTCAATGTGTACTTATCGACCTCCAACCCGCAATATTTCATCTCACTCAGCCTGGTCTCAATGGAATCAACAGAATTTGCCTTGGACAAAATCTCCAGCAAACAGTTATAACTATAACTATTCGGAACACAGAGTCCCATTGCTCTGACCTGATCAAACAAAAAGTTAGCTTCTTCAACCAACCCCACGCTTCCCAAACATCTCAAAAAGACACCCAATGCTCCTGGGGTCATCGAACATCGAAAATTTAGGACGTCCATAGCAACTGCTCTCAGTGGGGCATTTTGTCGAGCACGTGATAGGATTGATGCAATGGCATTGTAGGTATAGCAATTATGCCTGTACCCATTCTGTTTCGAAGCCCAAATGAAGAACATATGGGCAATTTTCCAACTCCTCAGGCCATTCAACACAGTTTCAACAATTTGAGTGTTGAGTCTTGGAGCTAAAATTTTCAGCTCCGGGTCATCTGGGGAAAATTTTCGTTGGCTGAAGAGGGAAATGAAGTTATTACTGATGTGGGTTTCGTCCAGAGGAGGAAGAACATTGATCACTTCCGTACAAATAGGCCTATAAGATTTAACAACAGGAGGTAGACTTTCACAGAAGATAAGTGAAGCAATAGCAACGGAGTTTGTGAAATTGAGTGATTTACAGAGGTTTTGATTGGCAAGCGTGATTCTGGGGAGCGCCATGGGAATGGAGAATGAGGAACTCAACTTCCGATTATGCGAAGTTGAGGCTTAGATTCCAGTGCCTCAACGCCAAGTCCCGGCTCTTCCATGGGGGGCTCTCTCATTCAGAGAAGATTGTAGTAATACCAGCTCCATTAGCGACGAAATTGCTCCGATGTTGATGAATAAGCTTATGAAGATGATGGTTATGAACTGTAGAATCCTGGACAAACAGTTCTTAGCGAGGCCCAGATGGTTGAAGCGATCTGGGATTCGCACTCGATCTTCTTCCTTCCTCTCGGAGGTTTTGAGAATATTGATATGATTATATGCCCAAAATTAAATTTTAGATCATAATTCATAATGTGTATTTTTTTTTTCCTAATAATTTTATTTTCTTCTTCTCAACTATCTATAGTTGATTTATAGTGATTTTTTTTAGTAAAGTATGTAAAAAGAGGGATTCAAACGCTAACCTCGTTAACTCAACGATAATTGGTACATGTCCCTAACTAAGAGTTTAAGACTTCGAATCACCCTTTCCCACACTCAATTATGATACACAATTGATTAGATAGAAGCTTAATCCGACAAATGAATAAGTCTATAGTTTTTTTAGTTCAATCATTGTAAGACAGGATCAAACCATCGACTTTTAGAATAGTAATAGATATCTTATCTATTTAACTATATTCGAAGTGACTAATAATTCTACAAGTAGCAAAAAGGATAGTGCAAACACACACTCATCACAAGTAATAAATGGAGAATATTCTGATATCGTTTCCGCAGAGACTTGAAGTTTTCTTTTTAAAATCAATAATGAAAAGACGAGTGAGCAATCGATTTATGATGGTAGAAGATAAGATTTAACTTGAAATAGTTTTATAAATACAAAAATAAAAATAAAAATTCATAGCAGTAAGTGCACCTTATGCATCTAAGTAAGAAATATCGATTTTGCTCCTTAATCAACTTATATCTAAACGATCCTACAATTTTAAGTTAATTATCAATATTTCTACTAATAACTAAGGCTTAATTTGATTTTTTTTCCAACCTAGCCAAAGGTTAAGGACCCTATTGTCTAGGTTATTCTTTATTTCTAAAGTTCCCTTTATCCATTTAGATTTTAAATATAAAATTACTTAAAAACAAGTTAAGTTTTCGTAGGCTAGGATAAAAGAATTAGTTCATAATATATTTTGTAAAAGAAAACTCGTTGAAAGTTAACATGAAATTCATTTTCAAAAAAAAAAATGAAATTAACATTAGCTAATTAACAAAGAATGATTGGACCCGACTTGAACTCGATCCTTACTCTTTCGAGTTTAAGAGAAGTTAAGCACTTGTTCGAGCCTACAAAAATGTGTTGTTCACAAAAATCCTTAGATGAAAACAAGAGTAAGACATAGATGAAAAGAATATTTACTGTTTTTGTATTAATAAATGAGTAAAGTTCAAAGCACTTCCAAAGGAAATGTTCGCCGGAAATAGCTTAAAGAAAACAATATCTTACACATAAATAACGAGATGAAGCTTAGACAATTGAAATAAATAACGATGTCTAAGCCTCTTTGACAGGTCATCTTTGAATAGAAAATCTTTCTTTCATGCTGAAATGAAATGACACGTGGTTGCAGAAGAACTCGTTAAAATTCATCAAAACTTGTGTTTCATTAAAAAGAATTTTCGAAGGTTGCAGGTGTTTCAAGCGCACTCCTCGTAGAAAAACATAAATTTTGTTAAGTATTTGAGCCAAATGGATAACACATGCTAGTGCAAGTGAATATAAACTATACTTTTACGTGTATCTAAAATACAACTTTTAGATGCACTGTTAACTTGAATTGATTCATTTCTACTCTTAAAAATAAGGATAATGAGTGGAGATCCAACTATTGACATTTTAGATAGTAATAAGTATTTTATCCCTCGAAAAATAATGATTATTTAACATAGAAAATATTAGAACTCACGTTGACTTGCACATAGGCTTCTACCATTTTCTCTTGAAATTGTCCTACCTCATTTTTTAGTGTATATATATATATATATATATATATATATATATATATAACTATAATTATAATATTAAGGACAATAAATTATGTTAATACCAACATATTTAGACATTTACTATATCAGGTTAGTAGCGGCTCTCTTTTATTGTCAAAATAATAAGACAAAAATATACTTTTGATCATTAAAATTTCGAATAAGTATCTATTGGATCGGTCAAGTTTCAAAAAGGATACTTTTAGTCCCTAGATTTGTAAATTGGTTCTAAATGGTTCCTAAGATTCTTTTATTGTTTAGTTGACCAACCTTAAGATGATGTAGATGTTAATTGTGCTGGATAATGGATGATGCGATCCTCAAATTGGTTGATTATATAGCAAATACATTAATTAAATAATATTTTATGGTGATGGGATAACTTCTTTTTTGTTCCTCCTTTTCCTCCCTCTTTCCTCCTCCCTTTCTTCAGCTAACTTTACCGTCATCGCTGCCTACCCTCCATTTAAGATGTGTAAACTTAATCTCTTACTAAATAAACACATACCCTAAATTTTTTCAACCTGAGCTTAGTTCAACGTGTTAAGACACTCAGGGCTCATTTGATAACATTCCCGATTCTTATTTCTGTTATTCATTTTGAACAAATTGGAAATGAGAATAAGAAAGAAGAAATTTGTTTTGCATTCTATAAACCTTGAGAAAATTTACCCAACATCAACCACAAGAAGAACAATAATTCTGTCTTGTATGAAAATTGTTGTGGTTGTAATTGTACCAAAATTTTAAATATAATAAAACACAATATTAAACCCATTATCATCTCAAAAAGGAAATGGATATCACAAAACAAAATAAGGGAATAAATTCATAAAAATCTAGAATCTTCTCCAAGCCTCGGGAATCTTCAAGATCGATTTACTCCGGAGAAGAGAATCCTCCACAGCCGATTCCATGGAGTTGACGACGACAACGAATCCGCCGTCCCCCGCCCACTGTTCCACCAATATTTCTTTCGTCCCTTCGAATTCTCTTCCATAGAATCCTCCCTCTCGCCGTAATCCTCTCTTTTCGCCGCCGCAATAATGTCCTTCGCCTTCAATCTCGCCGCCGGCGCCAACTCCGCCGACCGTGACAAGCCCTTCTTCTGCCACCAGTGTGATCGCGCCGTTACCATCACTGTTTCTACCTCCTCCGATCCCCTCTGCCCATTTTGCAACGAGGGGTTTCTTGAAGAGTACGAGAACTCCTATTCCGACTCCAATGATGATCTTGATCGCGCACCAATTCATTTTCCCGATCCTTTTCGTGGATTTAATCCACTTGTTTTCTCCTCTTCTTCGTCCGTGATTGATCTCCAAAACCCTGGCCTGTTTTCAAGAACTATGAGGCCGGCTTCCCAGCCGTGGAATAGGAATCAATCCGATTCGACAATCCAGCCGGAGCCGTTCGATCCCTTTTTGTTTCTTCAGAATCATCTGCGAGGCATCTTCGATAGTGGCGCGGATGTTGTGTTTGAAATCCAGGGCCATCCTTCCCACTCCGTCCTTTCAATGCCGCAAAATGTTGGCGACTACTTCGTTGGACCTGGCCTCGAGCAGCTCATTCAATTGCTGGCCGAGAACGATCCGAACCGATATGGAACCCCCCCTGCTTCGAAATCAGCGATTGAGAAGCTTCCGGCCGTGACTGTTACAGAGGATCTATTGAATTCGGAAATGAATCAGTGTGCCGTCTGCATAGATGAGTTTCAAATAGGTATTAAGGTTAAGCAGATGCCTTGCAAGCATGTATTTCACGATGATTGTCTTTTACCTTGGCTTGAATTGCATAATTCATGCCCTGTTTGCCGGTTCGAGTTGCCTACGGATGATTCTGATTACGAGAATCGAACTCGTGGCCGACGGGTGCAGGAAAATGAAGCTTCCGGACAACAATCGGGGTTAGATAACAGTGGCAGTGGGGAACGTGTTGAGAGGAGGTTTAGAGTACCGCTATGGTGGCCGTTTGGGGGGCGGAACGAAGGGAGCGACTCCGGTGGTGGAAATGATAGCGAGGAAGATGGTAGGCCGCTGCACTAAGAACGAACATCTTCTGGTAAATTTCTCTCTCTAATTCTTTCTTCTAAATTTTGCTTTTGCAGACTGCTTGCTTTGCTGTTTTTCCCAAGTTTAGATTAGTTTTTGTTCATCTATTAATCTTGCGATAATCATCCGTTAGAGTAGCTTTTATTCGAGGTACGTTCAACTTTAGTGGGCTATTCATCCTTTCATGTTCGCTCCTCCATAAGAAGTTTCTGAGTGACATAGATTATATTACTAAAGGCCATCTGAGTGTTGATTAAAAAATAGACCCCCACCCACCAAACTAAGAAAAAGGAAAAATAAAAGAGAGACAGAGAGAGAGTGAGGAAGAGAATAAAAACACAAAACAAAGATTGAAAATTGTTCTCTTCTAGTGTTTTTCTTGTTGTGTTTTGTGGTAATTGTTTATAGAACACTTTTTGTACAATAACTTAATTTGATGTAGACTAAAGTAAAAAAAACAGTTAAAAAAAATAAAAATAGTGTTCTTAAACAGTCTACGGTGTTTGGATTCTCAGTTTGTAACAATTGGAAACGTAGTATAATAGGATGATGGTGCAGCTGTTACAGGTGCTGATGTGATTAACAGGTGATGTTCCAACGGAAGTTAAAAGGTAATCAAAGCTTGAAATCCTTTGAAACCACCTCTCTTTTTTAATATGAAACATGTAATTTTATTCATAGAACCGAAGTGTACAAAGAGAGAAGGGTAAATAAGACATCAACCCTATCAGACGTTTGGCAAGTTCACAAAAAGGGCATTCTAATAAGTATTGTGAGTACAAAGAGATAAGAGAAGGTATACCAACGGAAATCCAAAAATCTGCTAATATCCCATACTTCCCTTGGAAGTCTTGACTTGTCCTAAAGGCTAAAGGAATTTTTGGGTTCTTTCTAATAATGATTACCTCGTTTCTGAGCACTTGACGGAGTGTCATACAAAAAATCTTCAAGGTCACTGTTTGGATTGAATTAAGATATTGAGAATTGAGCTCTTCTATTTAGTAGAAACTATTACATCGCAACCCAAAATAATAATAACAACGTTGGATGGAGGTGAAACAATACTTAACCAAGAGCTACTAGGAAGATTATGAAACGGAAGGTTAGACTTTCGTTGTTGGATTGCAATGGACATTTTCTTATCTAGCTTCAACTTTGAAGTCTTAGTGAATTTTGGTTGAAGGTTTCCTATAATCTTAGTTCTTTTCTGTGTGTTTGTTGATATCACTTTAGGCTTATTCCACTTGTTTGAAGTGTTTCTTTTGGGTTGGAACCCTATTTTGTTTTATTCGGTGTTTCATTGGGCTCATTTTTTGGCTGTTCTTTTTTTAGGCTCTTTTGTTTTCTTTCATCTCTTCTTGATGTAAGCTTGGCTTTTCAATAGAAAAGAAGCACTCATCTCTTCAATAGTGTAAGGCTTGTCTTGCTTTTGCAAATAAATTTAGATATCCCATTTATGAGATATTGCTTTTCCACTTAAAAAATTCAAATTGAAGAAATCATTTCCTCAACAGCGTTACAAATAGCATGTTGCTTTAAAATACAGGCGTCTTTTCATAGATTCTTCTTACATTCTTAAACTCTTTCGAAACATTATCTACCAAGTTGTTCGATAGTGAGTTATTACATTGTGTTATAATGTTATGTACCTGTCCAAGTTTTTTCTTTTGAAGTTGCTGGTATGTGAGCAGTATGATAATTGTTCCGCAAAATGAAAAGGATCTGCCCTCTCTCAGTCCATGTCTTGTACTCCCGAGTCCTGACTATAATCTTCTCAGGGTGTAAGCATGTTGGTTTGGGTAAATTTTGATAGACCACAGGTGTAAGAGGATGAGTGCGGAGAGGAATGAATTGTGAATGTAAGTGAGGAATGTTGTGAGTGGGGTCATGCAGTAGTTACTATGTGGGCTTAATGAATACAGGTAGGGCCGGAGGGGTTATATATATGTACATAGCTGTAGAATAGGGAGGTATCTTTTTGGGAATAGCTTGGGCTTTTTCAGGAGAGATGGGAGCTGTCAAATTCTTCCTTGAACTTGTATCTCTTTGCAACCAATAAGAATTGGTTTCTATTAGATTTTTAAATATCAGTTACAGAAAATAAAAAAAAAAATTGATGCTTAAACTAATATTTCTTGAAAACTGAATCAACCTGACCGAATAAATCTTGAACCAAAGACCAACAACTATCCAAGCCAAACCACAAACCAATAATAATGATATTTCAAACTAACGCAGCTGAATTGGTTTGACTTCTATCGATGTTTTGGGGTTGTCTGATTTTTATATTTTTTTTATATTTTTTTTGGTTTCAATTTTCACCTTATTCTTTTAGGATCACAACAGGGGGCCTCTATGGCCAGTTAATTTCTCTTGTTGTTCATGTTTTCTTTTGAAATTTATGTGCAAGTATCTTATATATATGTGTGCGTAGAAGAAAAGAGTCATTTAGGTGTAAAGTCAGCTCACACTAGCTTACATCTGTTTAGTATATAGGAAGAGATGTATAGATTTTGGCGTCAGGACGATATGTTTTTTAGGCTATAGGCTACTCGAAGCTCGTGTCCACGTAGAGATCATATATGTATGAGATGTAGGCTTATTCTATCCTGGAACAGTATTTTTCTAGTATTTTACTGAGATGTTGAGCCGACTTTTAAATTGATTTTCATTGTCACGGACTCACGGATGTGAAAGAAGACAACCGATAAGACATGGAGATATTGAAGTATCTTTGTAGTATAGATTATGATTTCCTTAACTTTACTTTTCTTATCCAATAAAAACTTTAAAAACTACTCTCCTTGACCAATGTCTAATAAGCATGGACAAGAAGACATGCATGGCAAGACATGTACATGGTGACATGACATTTCGATTTCTAAAAGATTAAGTTAATATTTGTTATTAATTATGCCTGGGAATTTAGAATACGTTATGAAAGGAGATTGGTAGTTAATATATTTCTAAATCCTAATACTGGTCCTGTGACTGAGAATTTGAAGTTAATCCCAAATTGAATAAATAACTTTCCAGGTAGTTTAATATCTTCTAAAAAAGGAAAATTCAAAATAATTTATTTTCATATTTCTACCGGTGAAAATAAGATTTGATGTTTTTTATTCACAATTAATTATGTTCCTCTTGGATTTAATTTTATCCTTATCCAGAGAGAAAAAAAAAAAACCAACGTTGTAATGCTGAAGAATCTTGAAATTTTTAATATTTATTGGACATGCATGTACTATCCAAACTTTAAGCGCTCATGCCAAGATCGAGTAATTAGAGTCATGTATATATGCGTAATTGGGAGGTGTTGTGTGGAATTGGTGATGGGACCAATATATATATATAAATATATCTCTTGTACATGCATGGAACTTTCCCTTTTCTTATTCGATGTTCTTGGATATGAAACAAATTTTCTAAACACGATGATGATTTTTATTTTTATGTTTGATACGAAACAAATATTAAACACCATGGTCATATGAAATCTTTTTGTTTCTCCCTCAAGGGTGAATGGGGTTGAGTATAGTAGGAGCTTGACTCATGGATTAGGTTCATGTAACTTGTGGTTAAGAGGTTGAGTCCATATTTTAGGATATAGGCTTGTCTGATGAAACGTATCTTTTACATCATATCTTTTTTATTTTATTTTTCTAACTAGAACTATATCTTAATGTATTAAAGTCCAGTCCTAATGAAATTTATCTTTTACGCTGCATCCTAGTATTAAGTACATCGAATACAAATTATACAATCTTGAGTTTCTAATTAGACATGGACTTCTCAATTTCAAACTTCACAGATCATGATTTGACACAAGAAGAAAAAGAAAAATTCCTGGCATCGAAGACTAGGAAAAGATAAATAATCCCTCCCCCTTTCTGGGGGCTTGGACCCTAATAGCGAGGAGAAAAAGAAAAGTGAGGAGGGCGAAGCAGCCAATAGCAGTTTGTTATCGCCTATTGATAGATAACAGATTGGTTCCCAACTCAAACTATGATATGATTCAGGGGTAGGGAATTTTTTGATTTAGTTCGTTCTTGAATTGATTCAAATTGAGTGATGAACCCATTTCTTTGCCTCCTTGTCAATAAATAAGAATCATGTGGAAAATAGCAAGATATGGTAGATTACATTGATTCAAGACCAAGACTCCTTACCACTCGGACCAGGTTGGTCTAGTAATTAGGGTGGTCGGAGATCGGTTTTCTGCAATTATTTTCCATCTCTCTGTGTACTGTAAATATCCCAGTATTGGTTAAAATCTTGAGCTAAACCTGCGATATTGTGATCCATATTGTTGGTCAATATCATGTTCAAATTTATGTGTTAGAGTACATCCTCTGGTAGCCGTGATTGGCGCCATTGATTATAGTAGGCCAACACTGACCATTCTTTAAACTTTGGTTTCAGGAAAGAAAAGGGCTTATTTTGACCTTGAAGTTTGTCTCTCACATTTAGAAGGAATCTCAGCTCCGAAAATACACATAAAAGTCGGTGGTTTTTAGTGGTCTTTTGTTTGTTCTTTGCATTTTCAATTTTGTTTCACAATGCCGACACCATTATGTATAGATCTGTTCATTTTGGATGACACTTCGTAGCATGTCTATATTCCATATCTTTTCACCAGTTTCGTTTCACAGGTCTTATTTTTTCAGTTCATTGTGAGGTCATCGGGTTCCTCCCTCAACATTGAAGACCTTTTTTTTTCCATATGATTAGAAAGTATGAATTGCGGTCCTGAAAGGACAACTTAATTGGCAACAGCTTGGGTCCTTAGTCATACTGGCTTAGAGAATTTAATACCAAAAACTCTTGATGTCTCTTGGGTTCGAGCCTTTGGGGCACTGACTCCTAGATATAGTGGAGCAAAGTTCCGATTCTCAGTTCTAAAAAAAAAATAATCATAAACTAATTATAAATTGCATTCTGGTTGTCACAAATAATAATGTTAGGTGCTTGAGAAATCAAATTGGAAATCACATGAAATCTTAGAAAGCTCACTAGTTGTCATAGATGGAGCTCGATGCTGGTCACTAATAATAATGTTAGGTGCTTGACAAATCAACTTGGAAATCACATGAAATCTTAGAAAGTTCAATAGTTGTCATAGATGGAGCTTGATGCATAGGATTCGGTTGATAATATTCTTGTTTGTTATCGATGTTTATTGTTTCTTATTCTCTAATTTTAGAAAAATGAACTCCATTTGGTAACGGTTTCTTATTTTTGGTTATTTTTTGGTGACTATTTATTACTTCTTGTTTTATGAAACTTTAAATTAAAAAAGTAAATTTTTTATATAAAAAGTATGTTTTAAAATAAATATTAACATTCTTATGTTATATTTGTGTTTTCATATTTATTATAAATTTTATAAGTTAACACTGATAAGATATTACATTTATTTATGTTTCGGAAAGAACCAGAAATGGGAACAAACCTAGTTACCTGATTTTGTTACAACTTCTATACAATTTTGGAAACGTTTCTTAAAAATGAGAATCAATAAATAAAATAAGCCTCAAATGTCATTGTTTCTCAAAAATTCAAAACGTTACTAAACAAGTTTAGCTTATATGGAAGATTTCTGTCTTTCCGTATGTGATGGATTGCTCCATAGCCTCCAAATTCAGCATCCAATGACTACCTCCAAATTATTGGCTTAGAAAGAACAGAAGATACGTTAGAAAGCAAAGTATCCATTGTAGCAAACATCAGTACTTCAATAGACTAATAGACGATGGCAGATATTTAGTGTTAGTAGTAGGAGTGCACTATTTAGATGAATGAAACCATGAATCAAAATTTCACCACATAGGCTGTGAAAAAACTCGGGTAATAAAAGGGTCGAGTGTGGTCGATTGCAAGGGAAAATAACGCTCATGAAAAACTCATGTCTACTCTGGTTCCTTCATTTTCTTTTTATTTATCTTTTGTTTTTCTATCAACATTTCAACACAATAGCCAAAACGAGCACAGCTCATCGGTAATTGACAAATATCTTCAACTAAGAGGTTGTGAGTTCTATCTCTCATCTCTCATGTTGCACTAAAAAAAACATTTCAACACAGTACTACCGTCAATAAATTTAATGAAATGTATCTCGTTATGTATAGAATTTGTGTTAGAAAATATCAAATAAGGACCAAAGTGATTGCTTAGGGGCCAAGAATACATATTTTAGAGGTGGAAGGAATAAAATGAACAAACGTAGAGATCAAAATAAATATTTTAAAAGTATAAGAAGTATCAAAATAAACCAAAGTTGAAAGTAAAAAATTCAAATAATATATTAACTATATAATAAAGAAAATAAAAGATCAAGATATATATCCTCAATTTGACTGGTTAAAACATATATCTCGATACTCGACTAAAATATCGAAATTAAGATCCTATCTCATACCATTGACCTAAAAAAGAATAGCTATGGTTTACTTTTGGAAATTGTGATATTTAGTTTAGACGAAGAAAAAGTTGATTGTGACTGTACACTTTTTCCAGTATTTTTCTATCATTCATAGAATTTTTTTTTTTTTAAAGAAACACACAAATGGGCCCACTTCCTCTGACATCATTAAACTTCATTGTTTGTTTTGATAACGCCATGCTTCTTATCCAGCAGATATTTCCTTTCTCATTTACTTTTCAACCACCCTCTTTCTTTTTAAATCTTTCCCCTTTCTCTACCAACTTTGGATTAAAGTCTTATTTACAATTATGTTCCCTGCATAGTAATTAAATTTTTACGTTCATCGAAGGGAACTTAATTCAATAATAATTGACATATATCTCCAACCAAGAGATTGTGAGTTCGATTCTCCATTCTCACATATTGTATTAAACAATATATAACAATAAATCAATTTTTATGCTTTATTTGAGAATCTAAACCTATATTTCAACTATTAAGATATACCATTGATAAAAAAAGAAGTTTCAATTCAAGTATGCGAGTGAGTTTTCAATGTCGCTAAAGATACATACCTTTTATACCATAACGTGGCTAACGATTAACAAACTTAAAAGATGATTTTTGAATAGATCACATATTTACTAAAAGTAAAATTTATAAGATCTCACTTATATACACGTGTTTCACATACAAATTGTTGGTAATGCGACTAAAATCTCACATTGGTTAAATAAGGAGAAAATTATTAGATTTATAAGCAAGGGGCCAACATCTTTCTCCAAGTCACAAGGGGCGCTTATGTCGAAATGGACAAATATCATACTATTGTGGAAATGTAGTAAAATCCTCGGATGCAAAACAAACAAAGAAGTGGCGAACTTCAAAAGATGTAGTCATAGTGTGAATCTGTGGTTCATCTCATAGGGCCCAATTAGTATATCTATAATAGTATGAAACTTTTTAAGCAAAGTCATGAGTACTGGAACGTCGAGGAGTTGCTGTCCCCCTATAGAATAGGTATCTACTGATCAATTAATTAAATGGGAGGGGAGAGCAAAAAATATGCCATAAAATATACTAAAAAGATCATGTTTTCCTTTTCCCACACATGTTTTAAGTTCCCTCTTGTGAAAGAGAGATAGAGCACATAAATAAGAATTGTACGGCAGAGATAAAAAGAAGGACTTCTCAGTCAGTGGTCAAGTGGAAGAGGAAGAAGATAAGCAGCCAACTTCGAATGGGCTGGTTCGGGCCCATTTGCATTTACATCTCTAATAAAAAAAAAAAAAAAAAAAAAAAGAAATCTTAATGGTCTCATGGACTATGTTGGAATTGACTATTAAAATATATCAAACTTGCTGAAGGCCGTTTATCGCTTGCCACGTATCAACATTTAAGAAGATGAATGGTATTTAAAACTAGATTGATGTAAGTCCTATTAGCTCGATATATGGTATCTGAGCCGAGCTACATCTGGCCGGCCTGTCGTAGGTAAGAGCCAATGTGTTTACGGTATCTGCAGGTGCGAAGGTAACGAAAGTGGCACGTAGACCATTGTTGGATGCCCTATCGGAATTCGTCTATGTAAATAGAGATGTGTGCCATAAAAAAAACAAGATACGTGAATATACTCCTA